CAGCCCCGAGCCCCGGCGGGGTCTGTCTGCAGCCTGCAAACTGTGCTCGGACCCATCCCCTCCACCCTTCCCCCCAAACCGCACTGCAGGGCAGGTATGCAAACGGGATAATTCCTTCGCCTCAGCTGATTTACCGTTAGAGGCAGCGTCTTCAGATTTTTGCGCATGTATATAGATGTTAGAGGCAGCGTCTTCAGATTTTTGCACATGTATATAGATATATATATATCTCAGAACCTGTTTCCAGACAGACTGACACGCAGGAGGACTATAGTTGTTCTTTCAAGATTTCTCTTTGAGAATGAAGTTACAGCACAGCACAGCTTCATTACACCTTGCTGTCAGTCTCCAAGTCTCCCCTTGTGCTCTTTGCTTAATTGCCTCAAGTGCAGAGGATGGCAGGAGGACAGACCAGGAGCCAGGCTGGCTGAAGTGGGAATGCTGAATGCTGGAAAGGTCCAGCATTGGCTGCAGCAACTTTCATGTGCTGCCTGCAATGCAGGCACTGCCACTGCGTTAAAATCCAGTTTTTGATATACTCAGGTCCTCGAGGTCTCATCAAGTCTGCCTGGCTCTTGATTAGGGTGCTGCAGAGGAAGGGAGAGTGTTCTCCTTGCTTCTGCTGCTGAAATCGCTGCCCTGGCTTCAGGGGATGTGCATAACTTCCCCTCCATTCTTCTTCTTCTTGTTATTATTATTACCATCATTGTCATCATTATTATCCTCTTTCTCTGGCAAGCCTGCCATTCAGAAACACAGACCAGGCCCTGCCATGTGCCAAGGGGCTGTAAACCGAGAAAGGACTGGCTTTTAAAAAAATGTGAGATGTATTCAGCCTCTGAAATGGGTAATGTGAGGTGGAGGGAGCTGTTGGGTTAAGGCTCACAGTGGGAGAGTCAGCTGGGGGGATGCTGAACTCCTTGTACCTAGAGAGACATTAATTGTCTTAATGAGCTACTCAGAGTCAACATGTTATCGCTCAAATTGAGTAAGGTAGGTGGTGAAAATATAGAGGAAAATGAGAGGTTACAGGGACTTGAGGTTTTCCTCTGGTATGAGTTAGGCTCCACTCCAGGAGGGCCAAGCAAAGGTCCTGTAGCACTCAAAATGTGCATCTGTTTAATACACTTTAATCCAGTATAAATCCTATAGCTACTGCATTTCCTTAAGGATTACATTGGTTTATTCCAGTAAACCAAGAGCAGCTGAGATGAGCAGCATGTGTGTATGCTGTGGGTCCCTCCCATGTTTTACCCACCTGGCAGAGGGTGCATGGCAGAGCCCTTGGTGCAGCTTCTGATAGAGGCACAGGAACAGGTTTGCCCATTGCAGCTCGGTCAAACTATAAACCCTGCCACAGGAACAGGTTTGCCCATTGCAGCTGGGTCAAACTGTAAACCCTTTGAGGAAAAATGTGCTTACAGAAGAGAATATCAACCTTTGGATATCAACTCTTGCATGTGGAAGCTGAGGAGAAAGCAAAAGAGGTGCAAACTAGTGGTTTTGTGTTTTGAGAGAACAGAATTGCAATCCCACACATTTGGGATTGCAGGGTGGAAATTGAAAGGTGGGATGAGTCTCACTGGAAATTCATTTAAAAATAGGAAATTTCACTCTTTGGAGTGCAGATTGCAAAAGGGGTCATAAGCTTTGGAAAATGTGGTGCTGGTTTTTGACCTGCTGGTTCCCTGGTCCTCTCACACAGTACTTCACTCAGGGACAAGGAGCTTTTCCTCACTATTGAGAGGAACCTGAGTGCTCTGTCTTGGAAAAGAAGAGATGCTGAGTGTCATAAGTGCCAAACTGCCCTGGAGTAGTTTCAGCATAGGCTGGGAAGGAAGAAAGAGAATCTTTTACCTTGTAGTTTTCCAGGTCCCTTGAGTGATACTGATGATGAAAGCAAAGAATGAGTTTATGCAAAAGGAGCCCCCTCACCACAGTTAACAAAATTAAAATGGTGTCATTTTAATTTTCCATAAATCCCAAGCTTTGAGAACATGAATTCTAAGCTTCAGAACAATTGTTTGTAGTGAGTATATATGCTGAACTAAATGGCATTTTGGCAACAGGAGGAAAGGTGATTTTTTTTGTTTAAGTGCAGTATATAAAAAATGAATATCAATGACCTTTATGGCCTCTGTCTTTAAAGCACACGTATTTGCTCTTCTTTGTATTCCGCTTGGCATATGTGAGGACAGACACAGAATATTTGTTTCTTTTCTTATTTGTTCTGTACACACAGTCACCATATCATTGATTATTAGCTGTGCATGTTTATCACATAGAGGGACTCAAGTATGAGTCAATTAATAGAGAACACAACTGCTGAAGTTAAGTTTATATTTAGATCGCAAACAACCTCCCTTTGAACAAATGGATAATGCAAAGTGCAAAATCCTTTGACTTTCTGAGCACGAGCAAATATTATAATAATTTGTCCCTAGAGAAAGCTAGAGAAGCTTTCCTATATACATTTTGTTGGCCTTTAGCATTTAAAAGAATAGCAATAGTGGTGACATATACAGATAACATGGATTAGGTACCTAATTGTGACTGATATCTATTCTGATGATACAGGATGTATTTGATATGGTTCCAGTTGACCTCTTCTTGTTGCATTGTGTAACTGGCTGATTAGAAGCACAAACTGAATGCAATTTGTTTGAAAGATTATTCCACAAATAACTGCCATATTGACAAATATTTTACCTAACAATGTGGTAAATGCAATTTAGAATGAATTAACCATTAATTGTATCTACACACTTCATCTTTAAGTGATTGTTACTATTCACAGCTTTCTATACTAGCAGATGTGAAATGATTGTATAAGCAAGGTGCTATCTCTGTGTGTGATAGCTCAGACTTCAAAAAGTCCTTCCTGGCTTATTAAGTGGGCTTTAGAGAAATTTGTATTTCATGTGGAAACAAAGCTCTCCCCCTCTTCATGGGCAGT